GTTCAAGTTTGGCACAGTTGTTGGGAACTTCAATACGAATCGAAAAAGCTGTGGGGAGTAGGGTGTTGTAAAGTTGACCCACCCTACTTTTCATGTCACTGGGCTTGATGCAAGGGGATCGATGGCATAGTAGTGACTGATTTGCTAACTGAGCAGAAGTTAATTATTTTTCTTTGTATTAAGCATCTTTCGGCCTTTGGCTGGTTCGCCTAACTGAACGGAAGATTTTTGGTTTTATCTCAGGCCCTTTCACATTTCCGAGTTGATAGGGTAGGTCCAATCCAACCTGACTGCAATGACAAGGCCGGCGCCGTATATTCCACAGCAAAACGATAGTGGTTATCAGAATTTCGTAAAAATTTGTAGTTTTGTTCCTTATCGCAAACTTTTTTTTAAACAATATCTGTCGAATCGACACGGAAATTCCACTGAGTTCCCTTCTTTGGTATTCCCGATACTATTCGAATTCTTAATAATTCTCGCAAAAATTTACTGGAACTGCTTCCCATAACTCGCTTCAGAATAACCTTGGCAGTGTTTGTAAAATATAAAAAAATCAAATCTCACCAAAGAACAAGATCAAGCTTGATTTTCGTAGACACAAATCAACAAGCAAACAACTGCGAACTCAGAATATCAAGCTAACAAAACTCACCAACTGCAAATTTCACTAAACTGTGGTGAGATTGAGTTTCAGGATTTTTGCTCTACACCCGAACGCAACCGAAACAACAACAGCTGCCATCAGTCGCTTCGTGTCTGCCATCGGTGAAGAGAAAAAAGTGGTAGTAGGGGAAATGACGGCTTCGGCATGACAGACTATTTTCGGCAACACTAATTGAAACACTATTTTCATTGGATTTTCTTACGAAAACACTTCGCTGAATGCATGCAAACGATTCTTTATGCTTTCAGCTTCAATTTGACTATATTTTTACCACTGAGAAAAAGCAATCTAGCAAGGTTTTCTTGAAATGCAACACACGCACTACAAATTGTAGCTGATTTCGAGTTGCCGATAATAGAACAGCAGATTTACATGCAGTACAAATGGAACGGTTGCCGAAGAAAAACTGGTTGCTGACAATACTAGCTCTCATTAGAGAAGATTGGAGCTTTGTAAAAGCGTTTCAAAACAGTTTTTGACAATTCTTTCGACTGAAATTGTTAGAGCAGCTGGCAGCAAAAGATTGTAAACAAACCAATACTGCATATGTGTGCGTTCCTTAGAGAAAAGGGCTATAGAAAGAAGGTCGCTGCTTAGGTTGCCGAGAATACGTACATTCCCCTATTATTATACCTTCTCTTGCTACGAAAACGAGATGAAAAGGAAGCATTGCATCGATTCAACTTCGACTATACACGTTGTGAATTTTCTCGCAATATCAAAAATCAATATCAAGCATAATATTTAGCTCCAATATCACTTTGAAATTTTGATCTGAATTTCCTTGCAAATCTCGTTTTGAAACTGATACTGATCTTGAAAATCTCTTCACAATTTTACGCAGAATTCCCTTGAGCTACTTCCATACATACCTTGCAATTCTCCTAAAGGTTTCTTTGGCATTCTCATCGGAGGTATCTTAAAATTCTCCTCCTTGGACTTTTCCACAGATTTCTTCTCAGAATTCCCTTGGGTTCCTCTTCAAATTTCCCCTGAGATAATACTTAAAATTTCTTTAAAAATATCCAATGGGATTCGTTCACAATCCCCTGGATTTCTTAGAATTCTCCTCCAATTCCATTTTCACAGGATCCTGCTCGGATTTTTTCTTTGAATTCTGATCATTCGACTCGGAATAATATAATCCTCATAATTCTTTTGAAATTATCTTCAGATTTCCCAGATAGTTATCCTGGAATTTTTTGTTGGAAATTCCTTAAAACTTTAACTAAAATTTTGGCATTCTCCTTGGGGACTTCCCGGACTTTCTTTTGCTGTCATATTCGAAATTTCTTAGAGATTATACTTAGAATTCCTCTTAAAAAGCTGTTCTCAGAAATACTTTTGAATTCCTAGAATTCACCAGCAGTTTTTTTTAATTCCCCGGAACTTCCAAGCATTCACCCGAAATTCCTTTCACAATTCCATGGGGCTCCCAAGAACTCGACTCCCGTGAAATTTTCCTCTGAATTCCGTCGAAACTCTTCTTCGAAGGCTCTTCATATTATCATCAAAATTCTATTGAATTCTTTTCAAAATTCCTTTGAAAGCTGAAACTATCTTCAAAATTTTCTTGTATTTCGTATGAATCCCTAGTAGTTTATTAACTTTGTAAGTATTTTAGGGGGGGGGGGGGGGTATTACGAGTGTCTACTATTCCTTATGGTCTTATGTTTTCGTAAGCGGCTGGTTGCTAACAACTTAACTTTGCAGAGTTCCCACTTACTCAAGCGGTACGGTGATGATCTATTGATTGATTAAATTTGTTTCTGTTTTTTACGCGTCTATATTATCACGCGATTAATTCGAAATTACGCATTTGCAATGCATGAAGGTTGTGTTTGAAATACCTATGATATCATGAAATAAAGTGCAGTAGGAACTAAAAGTTTTTTTTCCTTGATCTTGTTTTCCATACTGAGTACCAATGCTACCGACGCCAGGGAGGCAGCTTCCACACTTGGACCCTACCTATCCAGCCGTCAACTCATGGACCGGAGACCAACGGCTTTACTTCCCGATGGAAGGCATGATCAGCGATTTTATGCCTAAGAAAATACCGAAGGTGCCGACTTGGATTGAGCCCACTGGGGTCCTAGTTTTTGATTTGAAACAATTTCTTTAACCTGATACAACCATTATCTTCCTATGATATCTTAATTTATAAAAGTCTCAGAACCATGAAAAATTTTCCATATCGGTGATTCTAAAATTGATGGTCATGATGATGATGATGATGATAGTGATCTACCACTCGTTGTACCACGGAAACTAGTCTGGTGTTGAACTTGATCAAGCTTAATAACCTCTGACTGCCATCAGCAAATCGCTGTATGAAGGGCCGAAAACTCTTATATGGATTGATAAGTAATTCACCTATTCATTTGCCTGGAACAGTTAAGAATCTCCTTCCAACAACGTGATCAGCCAATGGGTCAGAAACCGAGCCATCCAGCAGAATGGGGAGAAGAGCCCACCCTTTATCCACAAAATGTTAGCAACAAGGAGTTGACATCCTCACTCTACCCATTCAAATCGATTCAATTGGGGCCCTGGTGGTTCCTCATCATCACGAATTTTTGATATATAGTAATATAATAATCAGATAATCAGAAGCATAACCTCTACAAGAATATGTGAGTCGATTGAAATATGCCGAAAATAAATCAAGGTTAAGTTGGTTCTTAAAATAGAAGCGTAGATGCTTTAGAGAAGGATAAGAGAAAAGAGAGTCAAATCATGCAGAATTAGAAGTCGTCGAGATTTAATAGATTTAAAGCAAATAATGTTCTAGACAAATATTAACAAAGTAAAACTACATGTTTTTCCTGAAGATAGGATATGGCTATGTGCGCTTCTTGCAAACTTATAGTACGTTTTAACTTTATGCTACCCCATTTTCGACTGCATATTGGTGAGAGGGTGGCATAATATCAACTACCCTTTTTAAAGGTTAATTTCAAAGGTATTATCAGTCAACTTCGGTGACCATATCAATTAAACTGAAATGCGATTCCGAAAAATCTAGAGGCATTCCAAATTATCTGTAGAATCCTTACGGGCTAAATTTAACGATCTTATGAATCAATTTGTGTGGCCTCATATATCAATTCTGAATGTCTATTAGGTCAACGGAGTCAACGGAAAACTTCAGATGTACTCAGCGGTCCTATTGATAAACTACAAATAGTGTATATGCCTTGGACATTTATGGATGGTCCCTAACTAAATAAATAAGCTGATATGTCAGCTCCAAAGGCCTGATAGAAGTTTTCATGGATATGTCACGTAGGTTTGTGGAATATGTGCAGAGTTTTTATGCATAAACATTAAAGGATTTGAAGGGTAAGTCTCATGATCTTACGAAACAATACAGTTGGTCTCATCACTGGGTTTCCTTCGTTGTAAGCCGATTGCTAAACGAGTGTAAATTCTTCCAAGCAAGTGACTGTACGAAGCCTCGGATCTGACAGAGAATACGAAACAGGTGAGAAATTGAAGAATTTGAAATAAAATCACTACCGAGTACAAACCCAACTAAAGGTGTAAACACTGTTCGGTAGAGGATTATAGTCAGCGAGTGAACCGTTTTTGGCTCAGTGACAAAAATCAGCTAGATTACTTGCAGTAGTTTTAGTTGATTTACGTGACATTTTCACGTTTATCTGCTAAAAAATTATACTTTTCTCTTCGTCAATTCCATTTTTTCCTTGGTTCGTTTTCCGTACTGAGTACCAATGCTACCGACGTTACCGCTCCCACACCTAGACCTTACCTATCGACCCATCAACTCATGGACCGGGGACCAACGTCAATATCAATTAAAATGTATAAAATTATGTTCAATTCTAGAAAGCAAATGAGTGATTTTCACTCAGCAGTTAGTTTGCAAACTAATGCAATCGAATAAGATTCACCATTTTTATCTACCAAAACCAAATTTGAAAACCAGATTCCCGGATTATACAAATAGCTCCGCTTCAACTTTCGCCATATAGCGATCCTGTTATGCAATTTCGTAAGCAGTCCCAATCCGTATCGTTCGCCCTATCGTCACCGACAGACAGTGAATGGAGCAAAAATGCGCGAAATCAAGTTTATTTTCGTTCACATTCGTTTGGGATCGTTTCTCACTGTTCCTACCTACACATGCCTGTTTTGGTTGGTGTGGAGGTGCGGTGGGAAGGCACAGGCGCACACGATTTCGCAGCATCCGCGTGCGGGGGAAAGGATACAGGAGAGCACGGACGAACGAAAGCTTTCGTTAAGTTTCGAATTGTAACGAGCATGTTTTTCTGAATGTTGCTTTTTCTCCTTTTCTCGTTCGTTTCAGGTTCAAATTTTAGGACTTCAACGACTTTTTTGCGCTGGGCAACCAATCTGAAGCAAGCGTGGATCTCAGAACTGGACTGTGTGCTGAGAAAATTTGTGAGACTCTAGTCAGTGCCTTCGCCGTGCTGGTCTCGAAAGGGACGCGCTCGCATCTTTCGTCGTCGTCGTCGTCGTCGTCGTCGTCTTCATCATCACCATCGTTGCTGGCTGGCGCGTGTGCTATTATGAATTCGATACCCCCAGTCGCTAGTCGGGTGTCTTGAGTGTCGGCGAAGATAATGAGTCATAATGATACATAGTGATAAAAAATTACTTTACCGAGAGTGAGTAACTTAATAGGAGCAGAAAATGCCTTAGAGTCTGTCTGAGGTCGAGTGAAGTGAGTGAACCAGAGATAAATAGCCAGGGAAAAAGGAAGATGGTAGAATTGCTTTTCGGATAGGCAAAGGCTGATGATGATAAGAAAGCTATTTCTTGGTTCTCGTCGCCGTGGAATACGAAGAATGTGATGATCGAGAAGAAAAAAAGCGAAGTTTTACCAGAAGCAAACGAAAAAAAAAAAGATGTGGTATTTCTTCTATCTATCTGTTTAAGTGCCTTTGAACGACCACATCGCAGCGCGAGTGAATGTAATGTTTCTGGTCTGAAGTGTCCTCTCAGCGAAGGAAAGCAGTGAAATTCATATCTGGAGAGGAAGAAATATCTCTCTGGAAAAGTTAAGTAATTAACGTGCCGTGATACAAGAGCAGCCGCGCGACAACAACGTCGTCCAACACACATTCCACTTCAATCCCTCCCAGCATTCCCGTAGTCATGTCAACAAATAGTAATAACCTGAAACTATCTGGAAATATTATCAGTCTGACAAGCAACAAACAGCCCCAACTACAGAAATCCAAACTTAAACAGCCACCGGTGACAACGACCACATCCAACGGACACGCTAGTTCGACAGGCTCGGGTCAACCGACGGTGAATGGTGTAACGAAACCAGTCCACAACCAACCGTCCCTGCAGAAACAAGTTCAACAGGGGGGAACACAAATTCCTCCTCGCTATCAGCCACCTCCTCAGCCTCCTGGGGGTATCCTGAAGCACATCGTCCACAACGGAGGCGCACCACCTCTGGCCAGATCTTCTACGGTACCTTCCATAGCCTATACGTCCGATTTGAACGGAGGGTCCCATCATCACCTCAAATTTCCTCCAGAAATCCCAAAAACCACCGGACTTTACATTCCGGAAAACCTAAAACATCAGCTCAACCCTAGCCGGTTAGCTATCCCGCGGTCCCATTTGAGGTTCGCCAACCAACAGCACCACTTAGCTCCCCCGAGCAATCATCACCCGAATCAACCCCAACAACCATCCCACCACCTACCACCGCCCCACCCCCGTTTGAGTTCGGAATCTTCCTCCGAGGATCAAGCGACAACAAGCTCTACCCGATCCCTGCAGCAACACCTGAACCCAAAACAGCAACCATCCCCACAACCCAACCAGCAACCTCAGCAGCCTCAGGGCCACATCCAGCAGACCACTGCAATCGTTCACCACCATCAACCTCCGAGCCAGCAGGCTCCACCAATTCCATCGACAGCTTCGACCAACAGCAGCAATCAACAGCATCTAAACCAAAAGCAACAACAGCAGCAGCAACAGCAGCATCAACAGCAACAGCAGCAACAACAGCATCAACAACAGCAGGAGATGCTGAAATTCGTCCGGAAAGCCGAATCGGAAACGTCGTCCACGCCGACCTCCTCCAGCGGGGGTCGGATATCGTCGATCGAGCAGAACCGGCACTTTCAGGTAGGTGGTCGTTTTTTCTTCAACCATTATTGAGGGTTATTCATCTTTGCAGCGTGAAGAAATCTGTTTTTTGGATTCCGGATGCAGTTGAAGTGTCTATTATTCGATACTGGATTCACTTCAGTCTCATTTTGCATTACAAAAATGCATAGTTTTAAAACGAATCCGTCAGTTGTCACAATGCAATTTTGAAAAATTAAATAATTGCCGGACATTTGAGGCGGTTTTCAATGCCTGATAATGAACCAAATTCAAGACCTTTTCGAACGCAGTAAAATTTCCACCAGTCTCATATGGAATAATCAACAATGGAACGGTAGGAATAGACCAAAAATATTCTGAAATACATAATCTTATTGCTGATGTATCAATGAATGATGTAATTGTAACAAGCAGATACAATAAAGGGTATATATATGGAAAATGTCACACACATTAACAGCTGTAAGTTTTTAACTATTATACAGTAATATACCGATTTTATCAGCCCCTCCACGCATCAGACTTTAATTTTTCAATAATTTCACATAATTGTAATTTAAATTTTTTCTCATTTATCTTCAAGATGGATGTTTAAGGTATACTTTGGTGCAATGAAACCACTGGGTTTCGAAACCACACATGGGTTTCGTAGAATATTAGAAAAGATTTTCAAAAAGGAGGCTGACAAAATCGGGTATTATTGTACACCCAAATGAAGGATGTAATATTTGCTTACAATTATGTGGGATTCATCATCGCAAGATGATAGTGGGACCGCATGAACGGAGGATGAGATATACCGGACTGCGGTCCAATGTAAGAAAATTGAAGACCGAAAAATGTTGAGTGTATAAGTGAGAGAAATTATGACAAAAAGGGCGCCGACTGGAGTCGAACCACGAACGTTGCGATTATCAGACCTGTGCTTTCTATACTGCTCTTTCCATGTTCCGCAAAATTGATAGGCTAAAAGCATATATGAAGCGCTCATAGTACGATCATTTGATTTCGCACGTTTTTCTGCTGAACGGAATACATAAAATGCTTGGTGGTATAGTCGAAAGCGTACACTGAACTGAGGAAAGAAACGTAAGAATTCCATTAGAATGTTTTAGCCACAAGAAATCGGTATGAATTGCATTAATTTAATAAAAATAAATTTTTATTTTCATTGAAAGCAGTGAGGAAAGCCGTAATGGAAAAGTTCGTGAAAACTCACTACGACTCGCGAACTTTTCCCTTGGTGAACTTAGTGAAATATCGCGAAGCAAAACAACGACGAGAAGATCCACAGCCAGCCATTCCTTCTAGGCGTACTTCTTTTTCATTTTCGTTTCTTGTTGATAGTCTACCTAGGCGTTATAGAAATGAAGCGTTGAACACGTTTGTATGAGAGAAACAAACTTCGAGTTCATTTTAGAGCTTCGAAAATGTAGAGCCCTGAGTAGAGTAAATAATTGATTTTCATGAAAAATATTCACGAAAAAACGTTTCAAATTATTTTCAGTAATTGCTTAATTGTGAATGGTTGACCATAACTAACAATTATGCAAAGTTTCATACATATCGGAGAAGGTCGAGCATGAAATTCAGGAAGTGGAAGTGCTCTTTCTCTTTCTCACTCTGGGTGTACTCTACACTCAATATCTTAAACAACGAAATCATTCGGTGCCTCTTAGAGCACACCACATGAAATCATCCACAGACAGACAGACAGACAGACAGACAGACAGACAGACAGACAGACAGACAGACAGACAGACAGACAGACAGACAGACAGACAGACAGACAGACAGACAGACAGACAGACAGACAGACAGACAGACAGACAGACAGACAGACAGACAGACAGACAGACAGACAGACAGACAGACAGACAGACAGACAGACAGACAGACAGACAGACAGACAGACAGACAGACAGACAGACAGACAGACAGACAGACAGACAGACAGACAGACAGACAGACAGACAGACAGACAGACAGACAGACAGACAGACAGACAGACAGACAGACAGACAGACAGACAGACAGACAGACAGACAGACAGACAGACAGACAGACAGACAGACAGACAGACAGACAGACAGACAGACAGACAGACAGACAGACAGACAGACAGACAGACAGACAGACAGACAGACAGACAGACAGACAGACAGACAGACAGACAGACAGACAGACAGACAGACAGACAGACAGACAGACAGACAGACAGACAGACAGACAGACAGACAGACAGACAGACAGACAGACAGACAGACAGACAGACAGACAGACAGACAGACAGACAGACAGACAGACAGACAGACAGACAGACAGACAGACAGACAGACAGACAGACAGACAGACAGACAGACAGACAGACAGACAGACAGACAGACAGACAGACAGACAGACAGACAGACAGACAGACAGACAGACAGACAGACAGACAGACAGACAGACAGACAGACAGACAGACAGACAGACAGACAGACAGACAGACAGACAGACAGACAGACAGACAGACAGACAGACAGACAGACAGACAGACAGACAGACAGACAGACAGACAGACAGACAGACAGACAGACAGACAGACAGACAGACAGACAGACAGACAGACAGACAGACAGACAGACAGACAGACAGACAGACAGACAGACAGACAGACAGACAGACAGACAGACAGACAGACAGACAGACAGACAGACAGACAGACAGACAGACAGACAGACAGACAGACAGACAGACAGACAGACAGACAGACAGACAGACAGACAGACAGACAGACAGACAGACAGACAGACAGACAGACAGACAGACAGACAGACAGACAGACAGACAGACAGACAGACAGACAGACAGACAGACAGACAGACAGACAGACAGACAGACAGACAGACAGACAGACAGACAGACAGACAGACAGACAGACAGACAGACAGACAGACAGACAGACAGACAGACAGACAGACAGACAGACAGACAGACAGACAGACAGACAGACAGACAGACAGACAGACAGACAGACAGACAGACAGACAGACAGACAGACAGACAGACAGACAGACAGACAGACAGACAGACAGACAGACAGACAGACAGACAGACAGACAGACAGACAGACAGACAGACAGACAGACAGACAGACAGACAGACAGACAGACAGACAGACAGACAGACAGACAGACAGACAGACAGACAGACAGACAGACAGACAGACAGACAGACAGACAGACAGACAGACAGACAGACAGACAGACAGACAGACAGACAGACAGACAGACAGACAGACAGACAGACAGACAGACAGACAGACAGACAGACAGACAGACAGACAGACAGACAGACAGACAGACAGACAGACAGACAGACAGACAGACAGACAGACAGACAGACAGACAGACAGACAGACAGACAGACAGACAGACAGACAGACAGACAGACAGACAGACAGACAGACAGACAGACAGACAGACAGACAGACAGACAGACAGACAGACAGACAGACAGACAGACAGACAGACAGACAGACAGACAGACAGACAGACAGACAGACAGACAGACAGACAGACAGACAGACAGACAGACAGACAGACAGACAGACAGACAGACAGACAGACAGACAGACAGACAGACAGACAGACAGACAGACAGACAGACAGACAGACAGACAGACAGACAGACAGACAGACAGACAGACAGACAGACAGACAGACAGACAGACAGACAGACAGACAGACAGACAGACAGACAGACAGACAGACAGACAGACAGACAGACAGACAGACAGACAGACAGACAGACAGACAGACAGACAGACAGACAGACAGACAGACAGACAGACAGACAGACAGACAGACAGACAGACAGACAGACAGACAGACAGACAGACAGACAGACAGACAGACAGACAGACAGACAGACAGACAGACAGACAGACAGACAGACAGACAGACAGACAGACAGACAGACAGACAGACAGACAGACAGACAGACAGACAGACAGACAGACAGACAGACAGACAGACAGACAGACAGACAGACAGACAGACAGACAGACAGACAGACAGACAGACAGACAGACAGACAGACAGACAGACAGACAGACAGACAGACAGACAGACAGACAGACAGACAGACAGACAGACAGACAGACAGACAGACAGACAGACAGACAGACAGACAGACAGACAGACAGACAGGCAGACAGACAGACAGGCAGACAGACAGACAGACAGACAGACAGACAGACAGACAGACAGACAGACAGACAGACAGACAGACAGACAGACAGACAGACAGACAGACAGACAGACAGACAGACAGACAGACAGACAGACAGACAGACAGACAGACAGACAGACAGACAGACAGACAGACAGACAGACAGACAGACAGACGAGTTTCTTACTCAACAATTCTAATACCAATTCAATCACAAAAAAGTGGAACTAATATTCTTACCATCAAGATAATAACGCCAGAAATCCAGTTAAAATCACAGATGGGGAAAATCAATAAAGCTAAGCATTCAGTCGTCGGTCACTTAAATTATAGGTTTTTTTTAGAAAGTACATTTTTTTCAATTTTATTTTTTTCTCACGATTTACATACAAGTCTCTTCAAAATCTCCTTGGACTTCAATTCAGAACTTGCTTTCTTCTTCCCAGGAATACATTGGAATTCACCTCAGAATTTCTAAGGACTGTATCTCAAAATTACACTGGAATTTTAGGCAGAACTCCTTTAGACTTTTTTTAGGAATCCCCCACACCGTTTTCTTTGAATTAACACTTTAAATCATTTAAAGTTCACCCTACATTCTTCACATGTATTCTCGGCAGAATTATATCGAAAATCATTAAATTGTTAGGTCTTTGAAAGTTCTTTCAAACTCCAAAGCCTTGAAAAAAATTCAATGTGAAATCTGGAATCTTGTTTTTTTTTTCAAGACTCCACATTATGAATATTTTATTAGTCCCAGATTGATTTCTTTTTCTAAATCACGATGGTTTATAATTTCGAAA